TACATATATATATATATATATATATATATATATACACACACACACACGTCCATGTGTGTAGGACCCTAAATGATCACCATTAAATTTGGCACAGAATCTCTAAAAAAGTTATCACATGGGTGTGTGGCTTGACTTTTTTATAGATCTGTGCCAAATTGAATGATGATCCTACACATATGGGCCTGAGAGAGTCTCACAAGGTCATTTCCATATATATATATATATATATATATGCATATATATGGCAAAAGTTTATATAAGGTTGCAACCTTAAAATGTAGAATTAATGATGCACCTAAAAAATCCATGGGATGAGGATGTTTTAATATTAAAAACCCTCTAATTGATCATCTCAATACCGAGATGTATGAATATGAAAAAAGAAAAATATTTTGAGTCCCAGAAATAATGCATCTTGCAACCCATTATCTAGACCGTCCATTTTCAAGATTTTCATATGTTTATAGATTTACTTGATTTTAGTTATTTTTAGAATTTTAAAGTTTATAATTAGAGATGAAATTGATTTTAAGATAATCCTAAAAAAAATTTACACCAAAATTACATGTTATGGTAACATTTGGAGGTGCACCTTAATTGGATTGTTTAACGTTGCAACTTTATAGGAACCACACCCTATATATATATATAAAAGAAAGTCTCCCAATGCTTACATGCGAAATGAACAGTGATTTCACATACCCTTATCACCGTCCAAAGTTCATCGTACGATCACGATTATCCGATAGTAGTTCATTTTTTTTTCTACAAATCAGAATGATATGAAATTTAGAGCCTATGTACATCTTAGTGAGGTGCATCTAATAAAAATATAAAAAAAATAATTCAAAAAAAAAAATAGGCCAAAATACCTCCAAAACATTTTGGGGGTATTTTGGTTAATGTTTTTCATGTAAAATATTTTTTTTATATTTTCCGTAGATTCACCTATTTTTTATGTGCAGACGCTCTAAATTTTATGTCATTCCTATTTGTTAAAAAAAAAAATGAAAAATGAAACACTACCGAACAACTGTGACCGTGTGATGAACTTTGGACGATGATATGAGCATTGGCAAAAATGAGTGATTTCGCTTATAAGAGAAAATGAACAGTGATTTCGCCTATACTCATCACCATCCAAAGTTCATCGCATGGTCATTATTGTCTGGTAATGTTTAAGTTTTTATTTATTTTTTCTATGAATCGGAATGATCCAAAATTTAGAGCATGTGTACATCTTAGTGAGGCGCACTTAATAAAAATATGAAAAAAATATTTCATAAAATATAAATTGACCAAAATACCCCCATAAATTTTCAAGGTTATTTTGGTCAATTTATATTTTTAAAATTAATTTTTTTATTGTCTTATTTTTGATGAACACACACTTCAAATTTCATATCATTCTGATTCTTAAAAAAACGAAAAGAAAAATGAAACACTACCGGACAATTGTGACCGTGTAATGAACTTTGGATGGTGATATGAGCATCGGCAAAAATGAGTGATTTCACCTATAAGCGTTGCGCAATGTTTTCCATATATATATATATATATATATATATATATATATAGTATAAGTTATAGTAGTAGTAGTACTACTAACTAATACTAATTACGTACCTACCTAACTAAACTTACTAACGTAAAGTAGTTGTTTAGTATA